TGAAATGGGTTTTAAGGTGAACTTAATTATAACCTATAAGAGATGGAAATACTGGATTTACAAATGGAATTGGATGATCATTTGAAAATTTAAAAAGATATACAAATTCTATATCAAAAGAGGGATGTGGATTACCTGTTTAAATTGGAATATAAGAGACTCATAGGAGTGGCTACATTGAAAATACATATGGACTTTGATAAAGATGACAAGGACTTTGACAGAAGAGACAAAGATAATAGAAGCAGACAGATGTTAGAACTTTATCTATGGGATTTAAGGATTGATGAGAGGAAGAAAAAAAATACAAAACTGGTTTATTTGATTATGGTTAAGTAATGGGTTGTTATTTTTTTGTGACGTTTAATGGTTTCTTTGACTGGATAAGTCATTTTTGGAAATGTCCAATTGAGTGTAATGGATTAGTTTGTAATTTTTATGTTACTATTTTTAGTATACAAATAAGGGATTGTTTCTGGTAATGTTTAACACGTTTTATTTTTCTGTAATGTTTAATTGTTAATTGGGATAAATAATGGGTTGCTATCTCAGGTGATTAGTGGTTAATTCTTTTGTTCATTTGTAACATTTAATTGTCAACTGGAATGAGATTTTGATTATTAAAGGAGGGATTGGGGGATTATGTTTAAATGGAAAGAGCGACTAAATGCTTATGTTGCTAGTTATGTCTGTTAATCTTTACACCTTTTGTTGATTAATAAGGACAGCTGAGGATTTAGAGGTGGGTTTATAGAAAAATGGAGTGAAGTATGGAATGAAGATGTATTTGGTTGTATTATAAGAGACAGTGATAAGTTGTTAATGTTGTATATACTTGCTGGGGATGAAAGGAGAAGTTTCTTATTACTTTTTGGGTTTTTTTTTTCTTTTTCTTTGCACTTTCTTATATTATTGTTAATGTATTTTTGTATTTGGTTTTTGTATTAGTTTTATCTGTTTTATATAATCTTCAATAAAATTATCTAATAAAAGGCAGAAGCTCTCCACTACTTTGATATCTTCATTGTTAATTCTAAGGCTGGTTGTTCTACCTTTTGTCATTAGTTTGGTCTAAAATATAATTTTACTCCCATTTTTTCACTGCACTCTCTTTTAGTACTAGAGCTTACAGATCCTTTGCATTTTTGGCTATCAGGATAGTGGCATCAGCATAGCACAGGTTATTGGTGTTTCTTCCTCCAATTTTAAAACTATGCATATCTTCTTCCAATCCAGCTTCCCTTAACATATATTTCACATATAAACTGAAAAAATAAGGAGAGAGTATGCAGCCTTGTCACATTCCTTTGCCAACCTGGAGCCAGTCAAACATGCCTTGTTCTGTCTGTACTGTGGCTTCCTGACCTGTATATAAGTTTCTCATGAGAACAATGAAATATTCTGGGAATCCCATTCTTCTGAGCACTTTCTACAGCTTGACATGATTGACACAAGTGAAGGCTTTTCTATAATCAATGAAGCACATGCTGACTTCTTTTTGGTATTCTTGGGTTTCTCAATTATCCAGCATGCGTCAGCAATAATATCTCGGGTACCTGAGACTTTTTTAAAGCCAGCTTGAACATCTGGCATCTCTTTTTCTATGTAGGCCTCTAATCCGTGTTGGAAGATCCTAAGCATTATTTTGTTAGCATGTGAAATTAAGGATACTGTACGGTAGTTTGCACACTCTGTTAAGTCTCCTTTTTTTTGGTATTGGGATGTAGACTGACCTTTTCCAATTTGTTGGCCACTGGGTTGTTCTCCAGATTTGCTGGCATAGCTTGGTTGGAATCTTGACTGATTCTTCTTCCATTGCTTGCCGTATTTCAGTGGTTATATCCATCAGTTCCTGTAGCCTTCTGACTTGGTAATGACCGAAGTTTGTCTTCTAGTACTAGAGGTTCTTGTAAGCAAGGAATATCTTCTAAGATATCTTCGATATTGACATCTCTACTGTATAGTGTTTCTGTATACTCCTTCCATCTCCTTTTGATCTCCTTTGAATGGGTTACCATCTGTCCATTGGCATCCTTTAGCATACCAATTTGAGGTTGGAACCTCCTTCTGAATTCAGAGATCTTTTGAGAGACTTTCCTTGTTTTTCCATGTTTCCATCTTCTATGTCTCTATAGATGTTGTTGTAATAGTGCTTCTTGTCTCTTCTAACAGCTCTCTGAAACTCTTGGTTAAGTTCCTTTCTGAGATTCTTGTCTTTCCTGGCTTTGGCTTCTCTTCTCTTCTTGGCAATTTCCATGGTTTGTTCTGACATCCAGTTTGCTTTCTTCTCTTTCTTCATTTTTGGCAGTCTCTTTTCAAATTCATCCTTAACTTCTTTTTTGTTCCATAATTCCTCTGGTTCTCTATCAATGAAGTTCAGGACTTCACAGTGATTTCTGATGGTCTCCTTGAAAATGGTGGGTATGTGTTCAAGAACATATTGTGGAAACTGTCTTTCTTAAGTAGCTTAACTTGGAGCTTGCGCATAAGCATTTCCTGATCGGTTCCACAGTTAGCACCTGGCCATGTTTTTGATACTATAATGGAGCTCCTCCACCTCCTGTTAGCAATAATGTAGCCAATTTGATTTCTGTATACTCCATCTGGTGATATCCAAGTATAGGGGGATTGTTTTGGTTGTTTGAAGACAGTGTTAGCTATGAAGAAATCACTGGAGTAGCAGTCTCCTACTTGGTTTCAGTTTCCTAAGCCATACAATCTAATTACATTTTCCTCTCTTGGGTTTCCAACTTTGGCATTCCAGTCTCTGATCACAAGCAGCACATCTTGCTTGCATGTTCTGTCGATTTCAAGTTGAACTTGATTGTTGAAGTTATTAACTTCCTCTCCTACATCAGTGGCTGGAGCATAAACTTAAATGATCGTCATATTAAAAGTTTGTCTGTGAAGTCTAACTGATATTATTTGGTCATTGATTGCATTGTTAGCCAAGTACTGCTCTGGCTATATAACCTTCCTAACTTGAAAAGCAACACTGTTCCTTCTTTGTTTTTCATGTCCTGAGTAATAAACTGTGTGATCTTCTGACTGAAAGTGTCTGATCCCAGTCCATCTCAATTTGCTGATGCCTAAAATGTCAATCTGTAGTAATTTCATTTCATCTTTTACTGTGTTGATCTTTCCTGTGTTCTTGCTTCTTACGTTCCATGTTCCCACTGTAATTCTGTCTTTGCAGCTTCAGATTTTCTTTTCCTGAATGGCAACATCACCAACTAGACATCCCAAAGACTTTAATCTAGCCACATCATAAGCACCATTAGTACTCCAAAAGATCCTCAGTTCTTCCTCAGTAGCATGCTGATATTTATTTATTTATGTATTCTGCATATTTATGCAGAAATATTGAAAATTCAAAAGGATTCACAAACTTTTTAGTATCACTGTATGAAATTGGCAGTCGCTCCCAAGTGTACAAGAGCAGAGAGCTGTACTTTCCTGGCCTGAGTCTAAACAAAGACAACAGAAATAATATTGTGCTTGCTTGCTGTCCATCATCTGAGATCTCCTTAATTGTCTGAGGGGCCCCTTTCAGAGCTCTTGGGAGAGGGGCCTGCAAAGCTTCCTGACCCCACATCCTTGAAACAAATGAGTCACTTGCTTGCTCCATGGCCTGTAGATCCACAGCTGTGGCATTTCATAGCAGAGTCAAGGGTGTGGATTTTAGCTATGCAGGATCAGGCTGTATGCCTGAGAGCGCCATATTAAAAACAGAAACTTAGGTTCCTCTTTCTCTGCTTCTCTCCTGGTGACAGATATCTTTTGACTGCTCCAAATTGCATGGATTCTCCAGCACTGGATTCCAAGGAAACCATCAGGAAGGGGGACTATGGGAGAAAAGGGGCTGTAAAACCTCTTCTGCTAGCCATTTCTCCCTTGTCTCAACTATTCCAGTCAGTATCTGTTATCATACAACATTGGAACAGCTCTTCCAAATTATCTGGGGTACCTTGTCTCATCAGTTCAGCTGTCAGTTCGTCAGCAAGTCCTTTCCTAAACTGGTCAACCAGAGCCAAATCATTCCATCCCACATCTCTGGCCAGTAATTTAAAATCCAGTATGTACACCCATATTCTACCCTGACCTTGCATGAGTTTGCAAATTTCACAGTTAGTGGTCCCATCTCATGGGATCGCCGAAGCACCTTAAAGCTTTGCATTAAGTTTTGATAATTGTTTAGTCCAGGGTCACTGGCCTAAATGATAGGTATGACCTATTTGGCTGCTCCTTGTTTCAGCACATTCTGCACAAATGTCACTTTGACGCACTCTGTGGGAAACCCACCATACACAGTTCACACTGAATCATGAAAGTCCAGAATTGGTCTTGGTCTTCTCCAAAGCTCTCTGGTAACTCCCAGGGGAATGCAGAAATACTGGCTATGCTGCAGGCTAGGGTAAACTCTGTTCCAACTGTTGTGTTAGCTGCGTTATGGAACATTCTAAGTTATTATTTGTAAATCTGCCTGTTGCTGGTGTAACAAAGCTGCAGTAAGGTGCTCGGTGTACAGCGGTATACTCTGAGGATCGGAGGCCATCTCTATCAACGAATGTGAGATTTTCAGCTTCTCTTGAAAGAGAGTATAAGACTTGCAAAATGTATGACAGCCCTACTAGGCAGGCCAGACCAGGAAATCACCTCCACAGGAAAGCAGAAACAGTCTCTTATCGAGACTGGCTGTAACAGAACCTTGCAAGTCTGTTTGTCCAGTATCTCCTCCCCCTTTTTATAATCCAGTGAGTGAGGGAGGCATCTGGCTGAGCCACTTCCAAATACGATCTCATTTCTCAGGACTTAAAAATGTTTCAGCCTCTTTTGCCTAGGTAACATTCTTGCGTGTTTCTGTCAAGATCATCTTCCTTCCTCTGTACAAGACTAGAAAGCATATTGTTGAGGCAGAGAAAACCTTAGTCAGAGGGAGACCCGTTTCCCTTAGCAAGACTAGGGAAAGGACGGGCAAGCTGCACACAGGACTAACTCACCATGCTGGCACTGGCTCTTCCAGAACTGTTGGCAGTAGAGGATGGAGATGGTTAGCAGGACCAATGCCAGGAGTACCAGGGCACTGCTTGTTAGCACCACCAAAACCAAATCTTGTCCAGGATCAGTGGAACTTTCTTCTAAGTGAATTCTAGGAAGGCCTACCAAGATAATAAAAAAAAATCATTCAAAGCAGGAAGGAGCAGGTGCTTTTCTTCTGTTTGGTGGGCAACAAATCCCAGTTAAGAACCTGTCTTTGGCTGGACAGGATGTGTGGTCCATAATGCAGAATGGAACATTTCCATCTCCCAAGTGCAAAGTGACATTTGCTGCAGGCCTTAATCTCTCAAGGAGAAGCAACTAGATGTTCTAATTTCCAAGTAATTAGCAACTGCAGATGTTCCCTTTGCTGCACCTTTCCTAAGTTGCAAACCAGATAGGCCTGCTTTGCTCTTGTGAGTGCACAGCTACTAAAAACCTTCCAGTCTTTCTACCAAGAGGACAGTGTAAAGCAGGACTTAGCACGCCTTGCAGTTAAATTGGAATATATTGGTAGTTAAGAATAAATGAAAGTATTTGAAGCAGGGCAATGAAAATTCTTTACAGGCAGAAAATATGTGCTTGGAAACTGAAATCACCGTTACAAAAACTTCTAATAAATAGATGTTTCTAGCCCTCTTGACTGGAACAACACCTCAAAATGCCACCAAGTCTCAAAGGAAATGAAGCCAGGCAGCTTTGGTTGGATTTTCTTGTACTGATCAGAAGTCAGCATTTATAGGCTGTGCAGAGTTTCTACATGTCTCACAAGGCTAACAGGAGCAGATTATTATAGAAAATAAAACAGAATGTGTAATTTACCCAGTGTGCATCCTGAGGCATCCATAATAAACATCAGTGGTGTCAGAATCATGACCTCATTTGCTCTTCCCCCCCCCCGATGCCAGTGCAACATTTGCAGAATCAAGCTTCCCTGATACGCAATTTTTGTAGGCACAGAGTGCAAATACGCTGCAAGCCTCATTCTTGCTGCAACGTAGAATTATATTAGAAATATGTGGCTTGGAGCATAAGGAGGACAAGCAGCTCCTAGAGGTCCCAGTTAGTACATACACTGTTGTTCAGAAGATGGGGTCTGCTTCGTGCAGGGCACACATTCAAGGTCCTGGGATCCACCAATCTGAGTTTTACTGTAGAAGCTATCAAGAGAAAGAAAAATGGGCCGATATTTAATAAGGAGGAGCTGCAACGAGCTGCTTATCACATGAACAGGGCAAGGGGCACAGGATGCTTCCCAAGGGCTTACTGGCTATAACATCCATTTTTTTTTTTTATCCACACTCAATCATTACCAATTCTTCAATTGAAGTCCCTGCAGTTTTCATGGCAAGGTCTTTCGAAAGTGGTTTGCCATTGCCTCCTTCCTAGAGCAGAGCCCAGCTGGCGGTCGCAGGAGGCGGGGTTTCCGTTGCTTCGCGCCCTTTTCGGGCGAGCGTGGCTTCCGCGCTACCGGCAACTGCTCCCGTCTCCTTTGCAAGGGGCTGCCAGCATTTTCCTCCCACCAGGGTGAGAGTCCCCATTTATCTACTCACGTAAGTTTTTGAGCTGCTGGGTTGGCAG